TCTATTAATGATTTTCACTGCTTTATACTTTAGTCTATGCAAAAATAGTTCAAAAATTGGAAAATGGTTAAAAATTTTGCGCACTAGCGCATGAAAGCTGAATTAGAAACCTTGAAGGATGGATATCTTTCCGTGATTCCCAAGTTGATAGTTTAACCGCCAAACTTCTTATGAGGCCGTAGGTCATACTCAACAGCGAGGGAACGCTGAATTTAATAGGCAAGGTTGGAAGTGGGCAGGGGGTCATTACTTTAAAATTTCAACTTCCTAGACTCCGTAGTTCCTGATATACTAATTTACTCGTAAAAAACGCTGTTACACAGCACAAAACGGATAAAAAACTACGGATTTATGCATAGGCAATGGTGCTGAGTTGGAACACAAGGTTTAGCATCTTTACATCACTCTTTCCAGTACATTGGTGTTCAAAATATGCACATGACCCCCTCCCCTCTTCCCTTCTTATAAGCGTCTGCGATGCTGCAAAACTTATGCCAATTGAGAGCCCCTCTACATGCAATTTTCGGCTGGAGACGGTGGCGCATGTTTGTTTCCTGATAAAGATAAATGTGGCTGAAAAATTCACTTAAATCAACGCCATTTATCTAATTAAAGGCAGGAAGCTCTACTGCAAAAAAAATACTGAAGCAGTACTTTTTATGTCTGTATGAAATTTGAAGTGAATCAAAATGAACTTTTCGAAATTTCCGCAAATACGAACAACACTGCCCCAACATTTTATACTTCAAAGTTTTTTGCCTCTAAAGAAAGTAGTATGATTAGGTATGGCGCAGTAGGTTCGCAACGTTGACCTGAGATAAGTCGAAGATTCGACTCTGTCCCTCGGGCAACCAATCCGTCTGCAGTTCGTTTCGACGGGTAAATAGGTATATGCCAGAGAGATAAGCCCGCCATCAGCTTGCTTGTAAGCAACCCTCAAAAGAGGAAGCCATCGATAGCCTTGCCAATGGGTGGCTACTGATGGCATATGCTACCAAGAGCTACTTTTCGAGTGCCTTCGTCTCTCACTGACAGCGAAATACGAAGGAAATTTTGATTTTGATGTAATAAAGTTTTGCCACCAAAAGTTTCTACTTAAATTTAGTGAAAAGAATTTGGAAGAAGACAGTGAGTGTGGCGAAACCACAAAAAAGAAGACCCATTTGCAGGCTTATCAGAACGCCACAAATTTGATCATTATCGCCGAATGAGATTTTATCAAAATGATCATGAAGAGGGAAACTTCAAAAACTGGATCTCACTTGCGGTGTGTTTCTCCGATTTGTCGGTGAAATCAATTACGGTTTCCGATGTTTTATCTTTGTAATCCCAGCATTTCCATCGTCCACGTGTAAATGTTCCTGGAACGGGCACCACCTAAACAAAAACAATTCCAGCCATTACACACAGAACAGCAAAAAAATTGAAGATTATCGATTCAAGCAATCGTAAACTAACCCCTCTCCCTCCCCCCTCAATTGCCCCACAGAATGGAAAAATCATTGTTTACTGAAAGCAGGCCAGCAATTTGGTTCTGATGCGCTGAGACTGATATGCTGCAAAACCTATTCTGCTAGCGTGATGTGGTAAAATGATGAGTACAAATGTCCTTCTTTTCAGAGGTATGTGTTATCCATTGAGATATGTGTTATCCACACGTGTACAAAGTATTGGAAAGTTATAGGAGGCTGTACTAATGATTCCCACTCCTACCCGTATGCACTGTTCGGTCTATGTTTACAGCTAAGGGATGAAACACAGACAGACTGCATCATAAAATGTCTTCTTATACATGTCACCTAATTCCAATCTTTTTACTCCACTATCCATAGACTGCTTTTTTTTGGTGTAAAAATGACCTAAAATGCTCATGGATTTCCTTCTCTTAAGATACTATACCACAACCATGGCACTTCTTTTATAGCATAAAATCAAGCCCCTTCCCCCCCCTCCCCTCCCAATTCCCACGCCCCTCCCCCTCGCTTCCCCGCCCCTCCCCCATCCCTCACTTTTTATCATCCTAATAACAAGTAATATATTAATGAAACTTAATCAAGTCCTCTAAAAGAAGGCATACTGATCGACTCTACACTAGAATAATATATTGTAAAAAATAGCTTAATACGCCTCATCTAACTTTAGAAAGATTAAAAAAAGATCTAATATAAAATGTTCAAAAAACTGTGGCTCATCTTGAGGTGATGTGGTGGTACCCCGTTTTTCGTGGAATTACGAGTATCATGATTTCTCTTTCGTGTAACCACGATTACCATGAACCCTTTTTCGTAGTATTACACGAATATCATTTTATTTGGCGGCAACATAAAAGTGTTACTATCCTTTCTTATTGCATAAGTATATTCCATGTGATGGTACCTCATTTTTCGTGGAATTACGAGTATCACGATTACTTTTTCGTGGAACCAGGGCCCTTTTTCGTGGTACTACACGAGTATCATGATCACGTTTTGCGGTAATACAAAAGAAATACTACCCTTTCTTGCTGCATAAGTATCTTTCATTCAAAGAAACTGCTATTACTGCGGGGCCCTTTTTCGTAGTATTACACGAGTATCATGATCTCGTTTTGCGGTAACATAAAAGAGTTACTACCCTTCTTTGCTGCATAAGCATCTTCCATCCGTTGTTATCACTGAGGCAGCATATTATAAATTTCTTTGCGATATCTAATAAATATCTTTTATCCGTTATCAAAATACGAAATAACAGGATATGAGATCAGAGATCAGTCTAAGTGCCATGTACAAGAAGGCATAAGCCGGGGTGGTAACGGGTATGGCAATTTTCTTCAGAAAATAACAAAAATGCAGAAAAAATGACCTGGAATTGCCGTAATGGGCAAAAATCCAAAAAAATGACCTGGAACTGCCGCTCCTTTGGCTTTGTTGCTGTCATTTCGGTTCCGTGCTGCGCCTGTTGATCGCTGTTACACGTACTTACACCCATTGCCACATCAAACGACCGTATCTTGCACTCATCCACTCACTCAATCGGCGTCGAACCTCAAAAACAACAACAACAACACTCTGCGAGCCATCGATCATCATTCAGCAACAAGTTCAACGAAATGCAAAAGAGGCACTTGCCTAA